GGCTGGCAGTGACTCCTTCTGCCTTCCTGTTCTTTCTTTTCTCCTCTGTTAGTCCCACCTATACTTCCTGCCTAACCACTGGCCAATCAGTGTTTTATTTATTGACCAATCAGAGTAATTTGACATACAGACCATCCCACAGCATGTAACAGCGGCCAAAGAAATGAATACAAATTGCTTTAGAAATATGAAATTGAGGCTATTTGAAGCTAGTGAATTTGAATTATTTGAACTGAATTGAATTATTTAAAATTTGCTGTTCTCTTACCATTAAAAAAGAAAGAAAGAAATTAAATTTATGAAGGGACTCAAACTTCTCCAGCACGACCCTTTTCCCAGCCTGCCGTGTACCTACTTGGGAGCTCTGAACATTAGTTATAATGATATGCACAAAGTACTTTAGAATACACATGTTTTGTTCTACTCATATTTCAGTTTTACCTCTGAGATCACTGTATAGTAGGTATTAATTTATTGTTATCCATATTCTAGAAGTTCAAAAACTTAGGTTTTATATAAAATTAGTACTTAATTATTCTTCAGATACTTATTGAGAGTATGCTTAACATCAGAACTTGTAGTCACAAGTTTTTCTGTGTTCCACTGGCCAGCCAGAAGTCAGGACAAATCTCTCCCTCTTGCATCCCCCAAGTAAACACACAGAGGCTTATGCTAATTAAAACTGCTCAGTCTTTAGCTCAAGCTACCTACTGACTAGCTCTTATTCTTAAACCCATTTCTGTTAATCTATATGTCACCACATGTTCTGTGGCTTTACCTGTGTGCCATTACATGCTGCTTCCTGGACGGCGGGCTGGCGTCTCCTGACTCAGCCTTCCTCTTCCCAGAATTCTCCTAGTCTGCTTTTCCTGCCTATACTTCTTGCCTGGCTACTGGTCAATCACTGTTTTATTAAACCATTGTACAAAAGCATTATTCTAAAGCAAGAATTCATGTAAGTTCCTTGGAATATAGAATTTATGTTTCAAGTATAAGATGTCAGATGATTTGGTAAACACTGAAATAAAATAAAAAACTAAGAAAATGAGTATTGTCCTTGTAACATTTAGTGTTTACACAAATAAACAATAAGAAAATAAACACACATAAGCATATGTAAGTATAAATAATAATTCATGATGAAAAATGATATAATGATATGAGTGTGTAGTGTAAACATATAATCATAGACAATGTCACCACTCTAAAAAATCTTTAAAATAAAGTATAGGAAAGGGCCAATGAATAGACAATTGAAATGTAGTAGGATCTGTCCAAGGAAATAGGAGCTAAGCCCTATGGCAGGATAGAAGGTGAAGTGTGGGAATCAATTGGAGAAAATCAACATCCTGGATAAGAGGTAGTTAACATGGGGACATGGAGAGGAAGGACAAAGTGATCAACTAGTGCCAGGCTCAGGTGACAGTGGGAGAAAGCTCATTGGGAGATGCTGTGGGATGTCCTGTATGCTGTGACTATGTTGCTATGATTGACTGATAAATAAAACGCTGATTAGCCAGTAGTCAGGCAGGAAGGATAGTGTAGACAGGACAAGTAGAGAGGAGAATGCTGGGTGGAAGAAGGCTGGGTCAGAGGATGCTACCAGCCACTGCCATGAGGAGCAGGATGTAAAGTACCGGTAAGCCACAAGCCATGTAGCAAGGTATAGATTAATAGAAATGAGTTAATTTAAGATATAAGAACTAGAGAGCAAAAAGCCTGAGCCATTAGGCCAAACAGTTTAAATAATATGTGTCTCTGTGTGTTTACTTGGCTTCAGGACTAGCAAGTGAGAGAGAGTTGTCCTGACCGTCGGCCAGGCAGAACCAAGAGATAACCCCAGCTACAAGGAAACTCCAAACTCCAAGCCCATTCCATGGTGTGTCTTACAATATGTGTGCCTCACTGATACATTTCAAATGCTTCAATTATCTCAGAACTATTAGTGGACTTTCTGTATCACATTTTCCTCACTCTAACAATAAAATCTTTAATTCAGTGTTACCAAAATCACAACCCATTTGAAATATGCCCAAAGATTCTAGTAGCCATTTGATGTCAGGGAAAGCCTATCTTACCGCCGACTTGAAGAGAAGAAGGGAGAAAAGAAGGACATGAGGTGGAAGGGAAGAGGCTTAGGCCACTCTTGTAAACACCACGTGTGTGTACCATCAGTATCACACAAACACGGCCTCGTTCCACAGGCCCCACAGTTCTGCCAGAGTACAGCAAGGGTTGGTGTCATGTCTCTCTCCATTCTCTATCCTTCACTTTGTTGGTTCTGAAGAGCATAAAACGGACTTCTGGGTTGCTCTATCATCAACAGAATGGTATTTGGAAACCCTGCTCATGAATGAAAGATATGATTTGTAAGCAAACGAATATGTCTGGGGCATCTAAAGATTCAATTATTGAACAATGGAAAAATAAAATAATGAAGCCAGATAAAATGTGGCCATGGATGCCAAAGATGATAAGAAAAAGGTAAGGTTGAAATAAACCATTGCAAAGTTTAAAAAAAAGAAAGAAAGAAAGAAAGAAAGAAAGTGCTGCCTCTTCTCTTTTTCTGGTTTTCTGAGACATTGTTTTGGTATAATCCAGCTGGTCTTGAACTCCTTACATAGCCAAGACTAGCCTCCTATTAGTGATCCTCCTGTCCCAGCCTTCCAAGTGCTGGCGCTTCGGATGTATATTAATATGCCCAACTGTAAAGTCTCTTTTGAAGATTCAGTTTGGTTTGACTGGAGATCTTCTCTTAGACAGTGAATGAGGACTTCATATATGATCTCTCAGTGAAAAAGACACCGATCATTCATACAAATATGAATACTTTCAAAGCGACACAGGAGCCACTTCTTAGGACTCAGCTAATATTTTGTTTTCTGATAGATTCATGTTATAGGGTAGCCGATATTTGATTTATTTTTATTGTATTTAATTCACATGTGTATGTCTGTGTGAATGAAGGCTAGATGTGTTCAGGCACTCACAGGGGCCAGAAATCAATATTGAATGCCTTGAAGCTGAAGTTACAGGTGATTGTAAGATACTAGACATGGGAGCAGGAAAACAAACTTAGGTTCTCTGGGAGAACAGCAGGGGTTTACCCACTGAGCTTCTCTGTCCAGACCCCTTTAACAGTTTGAAAGAAACAATTTTAAAATTCAGGAGTTATTTTTAGTACTTTTAATGTGATTTTGTTCACTGAAGTATCCAGCCAATAAGTAATGGATTGTTCCTGTAATCAAGTTACATGTATGTATTATAAACTATTAATATACAGCATGCACAGATTTCTATTTCTGAAAATAACTCAGTCATCTAATTTTTTAAAATTAACCTTATAAATTCTATGTTGTATTCTCTTTAGAATTCAATTTTCCAAAATACAATGCAAAATTAATCATTTAAGTAAATGTTTGAGTGGCTATTTTTTTTTTTTGAGTTAGTTATTGTAAGGTGATTTCAAAGAAAAACCACATAGCAAAATTAGGTTATTTTGTTCCACTTGCAATCTTTGTTTATGTCATATACCTTCTGTTATGAAGGCTTACATACAATTTGCTATATTTCTCTATAGCATCATGAAACGTTTACAACGGTATTAGGATGAAAATATTCTTATGCATCTCCATTCCCTTGGGGCTTGGCCACCACTCATGGTACAAATCCAGGATTCCTCTGATTCTTCCTCTTCAAGCCTTCCCCTCAGGCAGTCTGCCCTACCCATCTCCTTCCTTACTGACTCCAGACCTCTTCTCTTCTAGAGACCCCACGGCCACCACACTCAGCAGGGACCCGAGTAGGCTAGCAGAGCCCTCCTTGTTCTCCTTCATTCTGGTCTCTAGGGTACCCTGAGTCCTGCCTCTGCTGCCCACTTCAGCACCTGCTCTAGTAGAGCAAACATGAATCCATATTGGGAAATGTTATCAACTTGACAAACGACATAAGAAACAATTAGAGTGAAGTGCCTTGTTATTGTCTAAAACAGTGCTGAGAAAATGTTTCAAAATTTTATAGGCATTATCTGAGAAATAAATTGAGATGCATAAGTCTTTTTAACAAAATTCAAGAACAAGTATTTCTTGAAATAGCAACACTAAACTAATTGAACAAATGTATTAATAATTGTTTATCATTGTCCATAAAATCTAGCAAATATAATACAAATGGGAAGTTAATAACTTCAGATATTCTGTCAGTGGTGACAAGTAAGAAACCCTTTTTTGCTGTAATTAAATGGTATGAGAAGCACTACAGAACTGATAACACAGTAACTTCCATCACGGTCATGTGGAGGGGCAGAAGATTTCTTTTTTTTTTTAAATATGTATCTTATTTCTGTATTGGCAATAAGACCCTAGAAATGAAAATGTGAATGTATCAATTCCCTTTTCTCCTTTCTGTGACAACCCCTGACCACAGCACCTTAGAGAAGAAAATGTTTTTGGCTTGTGGCTCAGGAAGGGATAGAGTCCATGACAGTGAGAGTCCATGACAGTGAGAGTGGGAGTTTTCCTTCACTTGGAATCCTCCCCCAGGGAGCAGAGTCAGGTGCTGATGGATACACAGATGATGTCTTCCTTTTTTTCTTTTTATTCAAAGATTCCTGCCTAGGGAACTGTGCCACTAGAATTCAAGGTGAGTTTTCCCTTCTCACTCAAACATCACTGGAAACACCCTTAGAGATATATCCAGAGGTCTATCTTCTGGGTGTTCTAAGTCCAATCGTGTTGAAAACGAAGGTTAGCTATCACAAAGAGCATTCCTCTACAGTGGCCAAGGTTTTTCACTTGCAAAAAATAAACTCCAGAAGATAGGTGACCTGTGAAGAAGTTTTGTTTAAAAGTTATAAGACAATCTGGACAATGTGTTTATGACCTTAGATGAGAAGTTGTACTGTAATAATATATTTTCTCTTAAAAGTAATTAATATATAAAACATTATAACAGTTACAAGTTTAGCTTCATTTTTTTTTTTTGCATTTTCTCTATTTTAGGGCAAAGTCATCTTTAAATTAATGCGTAGGAGGAAATACTGAAATATAGCTGCAATTGTCTACCCCTGCCTCATCTCTCCCTCCAAAAAATGTAAGATAAAGAGAACAATAGTGTTAAGTGATGTTGACTTGCCTTATCAGTTAGCAAAATATTTCTCTATAGTTATAGTAATCAAATCAACATAATATCGACTGGGAAATGAACCAAATAATTAAGAAATTATATGTGTACAAAAGCACATACATATTTTCAAGTATTTTATGCCTTCATGTTTAAATATGGAACAATTATTTGCATACTAAATGGTACTGATGCAGTGAACTATTGTGATGATTAATCTCAGTTGTCAAGTTGGTAAGGTTTGGAATCAACTGCAAGACAAGCCTTCAGTGAGGAACTATCTCACTTAGTTGAAGTGTCTGCCTAAAAAGTGTGTGGTGAGCCAGTGAAAGAGAGATGGCTTAATTGGTTAAAGGCACCTGCCACCAAGCCCCAAGACCAAAGTTCAATTCCCAGGACCCATGTGGTGCAAACAGAGAACTGACTCCCAAAATTTGTCCTCTGAATAAATGCAGGCTGTGTCATGTGTACCCCCCTCCTACACATAGGAATACAAAATAAAAATGTAGATTGTCTTTAGGAATAAATATAAATGTAATTTTGTGTGTGTGTGTGTGTGTGTGTGTGTGTGTGTGTGTGTGTGTGTGTGTGTTATTTAACTATCAGCAATTAAGGAAAAAGAGGCCAAAAATTTAAGAACTTTAAAGAGTACATGGGAGAGGTTGGAGGGAGGAAAAAGAGTAAAGAAAATTATGTAATTATATGATAATTAAAAAATTTTTTTTCAAAGACCCTATACACACATATACAAATATGTATATGATTATATATATATATATATATGTGTGTGTGTGTGTGTGTGTGTGTGTGTGTGTGTATGTATGTAAGATGTGTCTAGGATCTTTACAAATGCAATAAAAAATTAAGAGTTAGTGGCACCATTTCCTGAGTTCAAGTTCTAGACTGCATAAAGAGGGGAAAGCAAGCTGAGTGAATAATTCTCCTTCCCTGCTTCAGGATTTCAGATGCACCATAATCAGCTTCCTCAAGTCCCAGTCAGTAGTATTTGTCAGATAAAACAAAGCCTTTCTCCCCTAAGTTGCTTTATTCAAGATGCTTTTTCACAGCGATAAGAAAAGTAGCTCAGACAATTGTCTACCTTGAAAATAGTAAAGTTACAATTCTTTAAACAGTAGACATGGTGCTGACTAATTTTATGCCAACTTGACATAAGCTAGAGTCATTTTGTAAGAGGAACCACTACTGAGAAAATGCTCCCGTGAGGTTGGCCTGTGGGAAAACCTGTAGGGAATTTACTTATTTAGTGATTGATATGGGGGCAGCTCAGACCATTTGACCCATGGGCTAACAGTCTCAAGTGGTATAAGAAAGCGGGCTGAGCAAGTCTTCAGGAGCAATCCAGTAAGCAGCATTTTTCCATCAGCTCCCACTTCCATGTTCCTACCTTTAGTTTCTACTCTGACTTGATTAATGATGGCCTTCAATTTGAATGTAAAAAATAAATATTTAAAATGCAAAATAAGACCACATAAATGACTTTAATCATAAGAAAAATAAATACACATCATACTATATTAGAAAGTGAGAATATTTTTATTTATACCTTTCTACCTACTGTAACTTCTTACAGGAATAAAATTCCTATGAATAAGTGAGTTTGCATGTATCATGTTGTTTATGGCAATGTTGTTCTTAGAGAAAATAAATGAAAGTAATTTGGTTAATAATTCAATCAAATTTATTGTGCCATGGTCTACATTACATATTAGTATGCAGTCACTAAAGAAAAAGAATTAAAGTTCAGTTGAAACAATTCCCACTGATGCTGTTAAGCTACGAAAACAAAATGCAAAGACATGTATCTAACATAGCTTTACAGAGCATAAACCAAAACAAGCAAGAGAACAGTAGGTACAGATGTGAATAAACACCAGGCTTGTGCATTATATAACTCCAGGGGTTCCATTCACACACAGAAAACAGTTACAACAGGCTAGTAATGTATGCTTGAGCAGTTGTTTGCAGCATGCCTGTAGTATGATTTCAGGTGTAAATTCAGATGTAAATAGACACAAAGACAAAGCTGCATTTAAATACGACTACTTGTATGTAAACATACAGATTTGTGAAGTCCAGGCTGGTAGCATGGGTTACTCTGGGCAGAAAGAAACACATACAAGAAGACACTTGAGTGAAAGAATATGGGAGGAGAGAAAAGAAGAAAAAGACTCAAACTTAACTAAGATGAATGCTAGTCCTATCTATGCATATATTAACTCATATTTGTATGATACATAAATTTTTAAAAAAATCACACACTAGCCATTTCTAAAATAAAAAAAAAAAAACTAACTACGGAGCTTTTTTTTATTTTGTGCATTATATTTCCTTAGCACTTTACCAGAATCAGCTCATGGGGATGATCCTGACTGTCTACGCAAATTTAATTCATAAGTTTATTTTTTCTCAAGTCTCTTCAACTTCTCTATTAAAAATTTAAGTGAAAGTTTGTTTACTGTTTATGTATTTACTTGTTTCTGTATGAGCGGCATTCATTCCTTGTTTATTGTAGCAGAGTCTACATGCTTTTCTATATACCCTTCAATTTTTAACATGGACTGAAGTGTGCTCCCCATTGCTTTATGAGAAATTGCACTAAATTTGATGGCTTAAGAACATTAATATTTACTGGTCAGTGTCATAATATGGTACCCAACCAAAAGGCTGCAAGAGGACAAGAGAGACTTCTGGGAAGATAGAGCACAAGCCAGCACTCTCCTGGAACCTAACTAGGACAGTGCAATCAGTCACCGTGGCTCTGCTCTGTTCTGTAGAATCATCATACTACTGGATCACCCCTGAGTGACACCATGAGTTACCCCAGGGAGTGAACATCAGGAGACCTCTGGGAGGCTCCTGAGAAGCCTGCAGACACAGTGTGCTTAAGCAGAGTGACATCTTTGTGGTACTCTCTACTGTTTGCTTGTGGCAAATGCTGCAGGACTTTAAAGCTCTGTTTGTAGAAAACAACAAACTCTTTCCCAAATCTGTACCTTTAATAACTTTATTGAGATGGAATTGCTTTTGTGTGTATTCCTTTGAAGAAATCTTTGCTCAAACCCAGATCATAGGCTTTCTGTTTCATCTTCTCTTAATTTTAGTAAATTGTATTTTACATAATTAAACATTTTTCACATACAATAATTTTTAAAATTCTTTTGTTATTTTCAATGTCTGGGTGATATGCTTTGACAATCCATCACATTTCTTCTTGCTTTTCTTGATCTGTATAGCTAAGAACATACCAGGTGTTTTTTTTTTCCCAAGGGATTAATCTTCCATTAAAAATATCCTTATTGCATGTCTAAATCTTTTCTAGTCTATTTTTTTGTTTTGCTGTGTATACTGGGCTTACTTTGTCCTATTTTTCCTAAGTTTCTAAGTTGCATCATTGACTCAGAGCTTCGTTTTTTTTTTTGTTATTATATACTCATTCTTTCAATTCTCTCTCTCTCTATGTCCTTCATATACTTTGTATTAATAAAAATACACTCATTTTTAAATGTAGTGTTCTGAAAATATCAGTTGCTTAAACTTACACTATTCTTTCAATGTGTTTATTGGTATTGTGTCAAGTTTTTCTGTATCATTAACAAGCTCATCAGTGATGCAATTCTTCTGTTTCCCTATATTTAGCTGGGAAGGGCACAACTCTGAAGTTAATTTAACAAACTTTAGTCATCTCTTGTGATTCTCAGTGCTACTGCTAACCTTTTGAAGTGAAGTACTGGCTCTAGACTCCAGAAAGTCAGCATATTTGTGCTCACTACTTATTACAGAAACAAAGCAGTTTTCAACGTCAATATTCTGATATTTTGCCCACCCCTCAGGGTCCATCTATGAGACTTGGGGCAAAGTGAAATAATTTAAGAATGCAAAGCCCTGTGGGCTTTGCTCTAAAACCTAAAATCCTTTTGATCTGACCCAGGGATCCTCTATTTTCAACTATCATGTAGGACACAATAGATGAGTAATTTAAAGTTTTATAAGTGGGAAAAGTCAAATTTCAGGTACTATATTCTTCTATAGAGATGAAATTCCTTGTTTCTTGTCTTAATTCTGCCAATTCTAGATTAAATAAGAAGCCACATTGGAGACCAAGTGGAAGGACAGGCAGGTGGCCTCTAGAAGCTACTGAAAGACATTGTGAGCTCCATGCTCTGACTTCCCAAATCAGAAAGAGTACATGGGATCTCTTGGAGCTTTGCCTTTTTACCCGTAGTTGAACTGTAATCACAGCTCAGAGGACCTGACACCCGCCTTTGGCCTCCATGGGCACCCACATACATATTTACATGCATACACTTAATATAAGCAAAGTTACAATACTCCTATAACAAAACATTAATGTTCAAAAGATTACTGAATTTGTAGTATACATTTAAACTGAGTATTCAGACTTACACCATAACATATCCCTTTTTCTTTCTTTGGTTGGTCTTATATAAGAATTTAAACAAATCATGTATTCTGGTTTATTTTTTGGATGGTTATTACATAGTTAAGTCATAACATATATCTTATTTAATACATATTAAGAACATATGTTACAACAATTCCTTTGGAGCCAGCATCTACCTATAACATGAATGCATTTTTAACAGAATAATGTATTTACATATTATGAGTGCATCATACTAAACTGACTCTTTTATCATTCATTGAATGCTGTTCCTAAATTTTATAGTAAAAATTAACAGAAAACTAATATTTCCAGGATATTACATTATTTTTTCAAAACATAACACATTCTAAGCAAGTAAAAAACTTAGTGACTTCCATTGCAATGAACACGTTCACATTATGAACTAATTTAAACCCTTTATTCCTTGAAGCCCTGTAATAGACGTCAATGTTGGAATAAATTTCCCCAAATTCCCACATTCTGCAAGATATAAATGAATTTTTAGACATTTAACCAAGTGGATAGCTTCAGAGTTTCATGAACTATAAGAAACCAAAATGACCCAAACTCCCAATATGAACCCAACATAGCCTATAGTTTCCTGAGAAGATTTTGCAAATCAGTTGCTTATTAAGAAAATCATAAGAAGAGGTATTTGTGTTATTTTATGTGTCTTTAATATTATTGCAGGGCAGTTAACAAAATGTGAGTGATAGTAAGAAATGCAAGAGAGTCTCTTGCTCTGAGAGCATGCACCAGTACTGCAGAGGTTTAAGCCAGTCAGGTCCCATCTCTGAGAGGGGGATGTGGGCACAGGGATTGAAGCCTTATCAAGAGGCTCTCTGCAACTGACAGCCGCTGGCAGAAGAAAAACATCAATTTACTCCAGTAGAGTGTCACTGGGTATATCAGTCACTTTCCAGGCCAAGCTCCATGCCAAGAGTAGGTGGCCAACACAAATGACCTCAATGGTACTTTTGTATATGCTTCGTCACATTTTGCTTTGTTTTGGCTTTGTTTGGTGTTTGTTTTGTCTTACTTTTCTTTTTTTTTCTTTTCTTTTCTTTTTTTTTTT